CAGTCGTTAAGCGTCTGCCTTCGGCTCAGGTCATGATCCCAGGGTCCTGGGATCGAGCCCCACATCGGGTTCCCTGCTCAGCGGGAAGCCTGCTTCTCTCTCTCCCTCTCCCACTCCCCCTGCTTGTGCTCCCTCTCTCGCTGTGTCTCTCTCTGTCAGAAAAATAAATAAAATCTTTAAAAAAATAAGTAAATAAAAATAAAAAATAAATTAAAAAAGAAAAATGAAGGACTAAAATATTTCTTGAATTTGGCAACTGTACTGTGGTTATGTAGATTAATGTCCTCGGTTCTTAAGAAATACACATTGAAATATTTAGGAATAAAGACATGGTATCTACAACCTACTCTCAAATAATTCAGAAAAAAAATATATTCACATATACATAACACATACCTAAAGATAAAATGTGGCAAAACGTTCAAAATTAGTGAATCTGGAGAAAACGAAATAATATACTTTAAATGGCTGAATTGAATGGTGTGTGAATTATCTCAATAAAGCTGTTAAAAAATTACTGAATCTTAGTGAAGGGCATTCAAAGAATGGCAGTTCTTGGTACTCTTCTGGCAACTCTTGTCTAGATTTGGAATTGTTTCAAAACAAAAATCTAAAAAAAAAAAAAGAATAGATATAGTGCTTAGTAGGTCCTGGGCACCTTGCATGGTTAATCCACCTATGTCATCCTCACAACCACCATGTGAGGATCTCTGTTTTGCAGGTGAGGACACGGGCACAGAGACATTAGGGGACTTTGCCAAAGGAGCACAGAGCTGGGAGTACAGTGTTGGTTCATTAACTCCGGGCGCCCTGGCTCCAGAGTCCCCACCCTTCACCTTGGTCAGTGCTCCTGGGAGAAATGGAAGGATTGGTTACTTGCCAGCTCACGGAGTGTTTTTGTATCCATTATCTCATTAGATCCTTTCAACCACCCCAGGAAGGACTTCAATCCTATCCTCCCCTTTCCGCTCATTAGAAACTTAGGGCTCAGAAAGGTTGGGGTGCCTGGGTGCTCCGCTCATAGGGTGTCTTCATAAAATGGGAACAGTTAACCACCCTTGGTTGTCAGTCATGAATCAGACAGAACTCAGGGCTCTTTCCATCATTACCTCAAATCCCCTCAACAATAACAAGGGAGAGATTTCAATTCCCATTTCATAGGTGAAGAAATTGAGGCACGGAGGCTAAATAAATCCTCCAGAGATCCCAAGCTCAATAACAGAACAACAACCAAACAAACAACAAAAGTGAGTGTATGAATGAATGAATAAGTCAACCAGAGCAAAGGGTTGAACCCAATGCTGTTTTCTTACTTCAAATCCTTCACCTAAACTCTCCTTCCATGTTTCTCAAACCCCCGCTAACATCTAGGAGGGGAATCTCACAGAGCCGCAATACGAACAAGAAGTAAATCAGCCTTCCTACCAATTCATTTCTATCAAGGTCCAAGCGAGGACAGTGCAGCAAAAAGGGACAAAATCAAATGACAGAAAAGACCTCCCAACTGCCAAGCAGTTGGGTGACACTGCGGAGAAAAAGCACAGAATTCTTTCAGTTTTCTGGATCAAGGATGGGAGGTCAACCAGAGCGGAGACAGGGGGCTGGCCTGCATGACACTATAATGATACTTATACTAGCTAATACATGATGAGGCACATTATACCAGACCCTTTGCTAAGTGCTAAGCATTCACATTAGGTTCGATTTTCACAATGTCCATTTGATGGAGTTTTACAAAGGAGGAAAATAAGGCTCAGGGAGATTCAGTCACACAGTTAATAAGCAGTTGCTGGGATTGAAATACAGGCCACCCAACCCCAGAGCACTCCTGTCCCCACGAGGGTCAGGCTCTCTCACCTACCTTTGGAGAGGTGATCTTGATGTAAACAATGATGGGGGCCAGTGAGGTCTTAGAGAGCTGGGCTGGGTGGTTGATGGTGTCAGCATCCAGAGCAACCAACTGAAGGGTCCGGGCCAGCTCAAAGATTCGCTCGATCTCGCTCTGAACCTCAGCTGGGGGACACGGAGTTATGGGGAAGGGGGAATGTAGGGGGGCCTCCCCAAGAGGCAATGGACAATCCAACCCTCTGGAGATGCACCCCCCCACCGCCCCACGTCGCAGGGTGGGCTTACCCAAGCTGGAGCGTGTGTTGGAGCGCTCAATGATGATATGTTTGCTGGGGTTGTTGAGGACTGAGCGCTTAGCCAGGGAAATGTCTGCCGTCACACGAGTGATGGAGATCCTGAGGGATGGGGCAAGGGGAGTGAGGGGCCAGGGTGGGCTTGAATGCCCTGCTCACTCCCCAGGCTCCAGGCCTGCCTCCTAGCCCTCAGTACAAGGAGGCCCAGGATCAGCATTCAAGCCCACCCTGCCCATCCCCAGCAGCCCAGGACCACAATGGGGTTGGGAAGCCAGCTCCCAGGGTCTTACCTGCCATCAAATCGATGCTTCAGGAAGTCAAATAAAGCTTTCTGCATCATGTCTGTAACCTGAGATTGGGGGGTGTTGGGGGGGGGAGTGAGGTGTTTAAAGCCACTCAGGAAGGGTGGGCTGCCGAGTATTTACACCCTCACATTCCATTTTCTTCTTTAATTCCTGAGGTAAATGGCCCCCTGGGGGAGGTGGGGGGGTTCCTTCTGGGTCTGAGGAGCCTCTGATGGGGTCTCTGATTCCAAAGGTTCTTCTAGGTGGATTCTCTGGGAGGAACCTTCTTGGGGGTGTCTTGGGGGAAGGGGACTGCACCCTTCTGAGTGAGTCTCCCTGTGGGTCAGGCCCCTCTGGGGGCTTCTCCGAAGGTCTGTAGCCCTCTGGGGAGATACCCTGGGAATCTGGGCCCTTCCAGGGGATCTCCCTGGGGTCTGAAACTTTCTGTAGCATCTCTCTAGAGATCTGGGCCCCTCTGGGTCCATACCCCTCTAGGGGCTCCTACCTCATAGCCCTTGAGCGATGGTCCCACCAGGATGATGGGCCTCATGGAAGGTACCACGTCATAGGGGGGCACATGCTCTGTCTGAGGGGGAAGCAGGGAGGGGAAACCCCAGAGTGGAGATGGCATTAGCCCCTCTTCCCCAGCCTCCAGGCTCCCCCATGCATTCTTTCCTCCCCCTGCTCCCAGAACCCAGATGTGGGGGATGGGGGTGGGGATGGGGGTGGGGATGGGGAGGGATGGCCAAGGAGAACCAGGAAGGGTGAGGGAAATGGGGGGTGGGTAGAGAGGGCACGAGAATGGGTGTTAGAAGGTCCCACTAGCTCATCCCAGGGGGTGAGGAGGGGGACACAGAAAGCTGTGATACTCACCGACTTCTGCTTCTGTTTGGCTGGGTCCAGAGATTGCCAAGAGTAGGGAGGCGGGGGAGAGAGGGGAGGGCACCCAGGCAGGGGCAGAAGGCAAGGAAGGAGCCAGGACAAGAGAGGGAGGGAGAGCGGGCAGACGAGGAGAGATAACAGGGCATGCGTGTTAGTGACAGACAGAGCCAGAGAGAGGGGACGGGACCCCATGCCAAGAGGGAGCCAGAGATGGCCCTGGATCAGGGCTGGGAGAAGGACTGACAGTCCAGTGGACTTGTGAATATTCCCACCTACCCTTCCCCTTTCTGGGTCTTGGGAAAGTTCTGGAAAGGGTGACAGCCCCTAATTTGGTGCCCATCTCCTGCCTCTAGTGCAGTCCAACCTGCCCATTTTAAGGGTTCCTTAAACTGTCCTGCTGTGCAGCCAGTAGACCCCCACATGCCCACCCTAGCCCCACGGAGTCCAAAAAAGACCAAGAAGGGTTCACCATTCCGCTCTCCCCATCACATGGTGGGGTGCAGGGCAAACCTGGAATATCCCAGTTTCGTTACCACCAGCCCCTGCTTCCGGGGGCGGCGGGGCAAGGGGCACAGCCTTCCAAGGGAAGGGATGCTTTGACTGCAAGAAACGTGCCTTCCTGGGGGTGGGCAGGAGCGGGGTGGTGCGTGGAGCTGGACGCGCCCGCTCCTGGTGCCATGCTGCCCTCCCTGCTCCTTGGCAGGAGGCCCTGCTCCCCACAGAATTGGGCCGGCGCTGCGTCTGAATCCGAAGCGGCCCCCCCCCCGCCAAAGAGCCGGGCCCTGACCCCCTGCCCTCCGGCCAGAACCCAGCAAGAATTACCTTCTTGAAGAAGGGGATGCGTTTGCCATGGGGTGGAGGGGAGGTAACACTGCTAACGCTAGTCTTGGCAGAGCCGCTCTGCTCCCCGAGCTCTGCCTCCTCGTCCTCTAGCTCTAGGGGGTCTAGTTCAAAGGCTAAGTTAGTCATCTCATTACCTGGACCGCAGTCAGGAGACAGGAGGGAGGCGAGGTGGGGAGGGGTGGGATGGACATGGAGACACAAGTACAGAAGGCAGGGATGGGGTGGGGAAAAAAGAAAGAAGAAGAGGTGAATGGAACAGAGCTAGGAGAAATGAATGGGGTCAGGGCAGGGGAGTCAGGCAGAGAGATGGAGCTACCAAAGAAACAGGAAGGAGAGACACAGGAGAATGGGCGCTGACGGGCCCAGCTTGGGGGGCATCCTACTCTTCACGGAGGGGGTACCGCTGGGTGTGTTTGGAGGACTCAGGTCTGGGGCGCCCCCTACTGCAGGGAAAGGAGGGGACAGGCAGTGCAGAGACCACCCCACCCAGGAGCTCCCCCACCCCACCCCCGCCATTCCCTAAGGTGGTAGCAGCTCTTACCACTGGCAGGGGGCGTGGGGCGGCGGGTGCCAGTCACCACATCTCCTAGGCTGGAGCTGGAGTTGTCACCTGATTTGCTGTGTGGGCAGAGAGGCAAACGGAGCTGTGAGCAGAGGGGTGGGCGTGAGGGCGGGGGAAGCTTGTTCTCTCCGATGCTGCCTGCCCCCCCACCCCGGAGATTCTCCAGCCCCACGGGTGACGCTGTACGCGGCTATGCCCTCGGGGCAATGGGTCAACCCTTGCGGCCTAGTCCCAGCTGGATGGCCCCCTCCCGGTCCCCAGCTAGACACCTGGAGCTGAGGCGGTTCTGGCGCAGCTTCTGTTCCTGCAGGAGGCGCAGGCTGTCCAGTTTGACAGGGCTGGGGATAAAGCCAACCTCACAGCCCTCCTTCACCAGTCGCCCGATCCACCAGTCGTTATTATATTTCTGCAAACAGCAACATCAGGTGGGGTGGGAGAGACCAAGAGGGAGATTGGAGGGGCAAGCCAGCAGCCACCCTATGAAGAAACCCCCCTGGGACCTGCGACGCCTCCCCAGGGGGTGGCACCTCTGAAGAGCTGGTCCCTGGCTCTAGCCTCTGAGCACAGCACCCAATCCTTAGAACAACTCCGTGACCTGTAGCCCCTTGGGCCATGGACCACCGCACCCCCCACACGTCCCTGTCCCACCATGTGCCCACCCCACCCTGGAAAGGCAGGGAGAGGGGCGAATGCTGACACCCACATGTGCCTGCACACTCCCACCCTACTTACAAATCTCATCACAACCCTCTCGACATCCGTGGGACCTTGGCATCACCACCCCATTTTACCAATGAAAATTAGAGGCTCAGAGAGGGGAAGAGCTTTGTCTAAGATCACACAGCAGATTCAGCCGAGCTCTGCTTGGCTCAGAAGTCTTTTTCCGCTAGAGCTCCAGCTGCCCTTCTCCTGGCACCCACTACCCTGCCCTCCTTCCAGACACCAGATGCTCTCTCCACCTCTTTGATGTGCAGGAAGTCCTTGGGCTCGAAGGTGATGGCCAGTCCCTGCACTGGCACCTCATCCCCGGGAGATGGGTTGTAGCCGACATTTGTTCGCACAGCAAATGCCACGGGCTTGGTCTAGAGGTGCACAGGGAGAATGACAACCAGAGGGTTAAGCCACGACGTACCGCAGTGGGATGGGGATGATGTGGAGGTTTGTTGTGTTGATCATTGAAAAGTATACTGAATTGTTTAAGTGGTTTTCCTGTATGTACATTAAATTTCACAATTGAAAAAAAAATAGAATTCAGCCTTCTCAGGATGAAGGGGGCCACTGGGGATGGTAAGTATTAGCCTGGAATGACATCCAGAAAGAGTATTACTAATGATAACAGCAACAACAATAATAATAATGACCAAAGCTATGGTTTACTGTGCCAGGTCCCGTGTTAACATGTTTTACAAGCATTACCTCATTTATTCACCACAAAAACCTTAAAAAGTCAACTACTAGGGGCGCCTGGCTGGCTCAGTCAGTGGAGGACTCTTGATCTCGGGGTTGGAAGTTCGGGCCCCACACTGGGTGTAGAGATTACTTAAAACAAAATAAAATAAAATCTTAAAAAATAAAAAAGTTATCATCTAAAACTAATGATGTAATGTATGGGGATTAACATAAGAATAAAAAATAATAATAAAAAAGTTAACTACTATTATTATCTTCATCTTTTTTTTTTTTAAAGATTTTATTTATTTATTCGACAGAGAGAGACACAGCGAGAGAGGGAACACAAGCAGGGGGAGTGGGAGAGGGAGAAGCAGGCTTCCCGCTGAGCAGGGAGCCCGATGTGGGACTCGATCCCAGGACCCTGGGATCATGACCTGAGCCGAAGGCAGATGCTTAACGACTGAGCCACCCAGGCGCCCCTATTATCTTCATCTTAATGAATGAGGAGACTAAAGTTCAGAAAGGTTAAGCGGCTCGCCTGAGATCACACAGCTAATCGGGGTCAGCCCGGGATGTTTGACTCCAGAAAGAAGGGGGGAGTCTCAAGTTCCTACTATGTGCGGCAACACTACTTAGCACTTATTATCCTGTATGAGAAGGCAAGTAGTATGGCCCACATTTTACAGCTTTAAGGCAGAGGCACATCGAGGCCCTGGGGTACACCAGCTGAAAAGTGGCTGGGCCAAGACTTGGCCCTCGGTCTGTTCAGGCCATCCCTAAGGCCTGGGGGTGGGCAAACAGAGCCAGCACAGCCCCCTGACTCCGTATTTCTCACCTTGGCTTTCTCGAGCTGGGCCAATGCCTGGCGCTCTGCCTCCTTCCTTAGGGCTTCCCGGTCCTCCTCCAGAGACACGTCAGAGTCCGATGGTCGGCTGGTGTAGGACTCCGCCGAGCCCTGAAAACGGACCGGGCCGGCTCAGGGCCCGCACTGCCTCCTGGTTCCTGGGCCTCGGGAGGCACAGAGGGGCCACCCGTCATGAATGCCTCAAGCCCCAGCCAGCCCAGCGTGATGCCACAAGGGCTAGGAAAAGGTGGTATGAGATGAGAGAAGCCAGGGACTGAGATTGGCAGGCCCCTGGGAAAAGTGTGGCCCTAGGAAGGGCGACAGCAGCGAGCAGGGGGTTAAAGCAAGTCCCACAACAGCTGCTTGGGGCCCAGGGAGGGGTGGGAACCTGATAGGGGCACAGCGCAGGGGAGGAGTGCCAGGGGACGGTCTCCACTCCCTGTTCCTCCTTCCCTCCCCTGCCCCCAGCACCGTACCAGCTGAGATAGACTCGGGAGAAGCCCAGAGCCCTTCCAGGGCCAGTAGCCACCAACATAGGCCTGAGCTCTCTGCAAAATTGGCAGTGGGCAGCCCGCTCTGCAGGATGGGGCCACCAAAAATTTTGCTATCTTCTGCTCAAAGGTGAGGGGAGATAGAATCCTATTTCCCTGGCCAGAATCAGAGGAAACCCAACCCTCAGCCTCTCACAAGATCCAAAACGAGACCCTAAGATTCCTAGGGCAGTGCAGGCAAAAGAGGCAAGTGAAGAGCAGAACATGGGGCAGGCCTCTCTCTATTTCTATGGCTGCTGGCTGCTAGGGTCTAGGCAGGCCCAGAAGTCTGGCTATGCCAGGAAGCTGGCCTTGACCACACGGACCATCCCAGAGCACAAGGAACTCCCTCAGGGATGCAGGCGCATGAGTGAGGCCCAAAGTGTCAATGAACATGCTTATTCACAGGCGTGCTTGGATGTGCAACTTCAAGTGCATTTAGGAGGCCGTGTTCTACGGTATGTGCTGGATATGCACGACTGAATGCACATAGATGCACCTGAGCACAGGCAGGGGGGCACCCTAGGTGTGAGTGTCCCTGACCATGTGCGGCACATGAGGGCAGGAGCCAGGAGGTGTGCATTTGTGTGACTACCCAAATGGGGTGGTGCTGGGACAGGGGCAGGTGGTACTGGAGGAAGAGCAGGACTACACACGTGTCGGGGTTCTTTCCTGAGGCCATGAAAGGGTCACTTGGCCAGGAATGCCCAGGGGACCTAGGAAAGAGAGAAAACACAGTCCCACCTCCCCCAGAGGGTCCTGTCATTAGCTAGTGAGGTTGCCCACTCCTTTCCCAGCCAAATCACAAAAGTAGGAGACTCATGAAGGGGCAAGATTGGGGTGGGAGCGGGGTCACTAATGGAGGCTGGAAAAGAAACAAAAGGGAAGGAGAGTGAAAACCAGCTGATCTACCACTCTCCACCCCTCCTGATGAGAGCACTAAGAATCAAGGAGACAGATGCCCCAGAGAGCCCGAGAAACAGACCCAGAGACAGAGTGGCAGAGAGGCATTTACTGATCCTTACAGACATGTGTGTACGCACACACGCGCGCACACACAGACATGCACGCACATAGACATATCAGAAATGGCAGGAGCAGGGAAACAGCGAGGAGGCAAGGAGACAGGCTAGAGTGAGGGCCCCCCCATCAGCTTTCCCACTGGGGCTGCTCCCACCCACCCCGACTCCCACCCCATCCCTGGCTCACCACTACGAGGGTCCGGCTGGGCGCCTCCATCCCGGCGCCCTCAGTGCCTGGCCCTGCAGGCCTAGGGGGTGGCCCAAACTGCCCGTTCCCCCAGGGGGCTCAGGTTACAAGCAGAGTTGCTACATGTGCAAACTGCTAGGGTATATTTAGCTCAGAGATGTGGCAAGGCCTGCTCCCCTACTCCCTGCGACCTACTGGGGGTCAGAGCTAGGGAGCTGAGAGGAGGATGGACTGGAGGCTGGGGTCTGATCCTCTGGAGTGGCAAACACTGAAGGAACCAAGACTCTTTTCTGTCAAGAGGAGTTACCCCCGAGCACAGCGTCATTCCTCCTATCCCTGGCCCTGGCCCTGGCTGAGTCCTGCAACAGGAGGGATGAGGAAAAGACTGAAGAAAGGACTTCCCGTCTGTCTGTGTGCTTAGAAGATGCTGGGATGAAGGGCTGCTTGTCTGACCCTCTCAAGTCAGGCCTGGGCTCGCATGTGCCAAGTGTTGTGGAGACAGAAGAGGCAGAAAGGGCCTCACTCCACAATCTGCGGTGGGTCTGCCTGGCACCACCCTCTCTCTCCAGCCCAAGGGGGTGCAGGGGCTGACCTCCCTACTGTCCTCTGCTCTCTTATGCCCTGCCCATTTCCTCTTTCAACATACTCCCTTTCCTTGTCTGATCCCAAGCCTCTCTCGCCTTTTTTGGGTACCAGGTTTTGTTGAGATGCTCTGTAGCCATAGCAACCACATGCCTCTCTGGCTGCCCCTCCCTGAGCCCGAGATGGCCAGGCGTTGGGAGTGAGAACAGAGATGAGAACGGCATCTTCCTGACTGAGAAAAGAAGACCCCAGAAAGCTATCCAGCCTCCTTCAGCCAGGGGTGCTGGGCTACCCTCCTCTCTAAAACCAATGCCCTCCCGCCCTAGCCCCCTCCAACACACTTTCTCTCTGGGTATTCAAGAGCAGTCAGCTGGATGGGAGGAGGCGTTTCCTCACCATACCTCACCAGGGCTCCAGGGACCCAAAGGACCTGGCTCCTCATCTCTTAGGCTCTGCGTCTACCCCACGCTGTCACAGGTTCTGGGGGAGGACATGGAAGCAGACAGCCGGCAGGGGGAGTGGGTGACAGCCCGAAGCAAGCTAGGAGGAGGCAGGCCAGGCTGTCCCTGAATGAGATGACGCAGGCAGGCAGCAGGGGCTGGTGCCTGGGGCTGGGGGAGGGGCAGGGCGGGGGCTGAGGCAGTGGGTGCAGGCTGACAGTGTGTGCAGGAGAGGTCATGGGGGTGAGGGTGATGGGGTGGTTCCAGGCAGGTGACAAATGACATGGAGGAGGGTGCCTGGAGAAAAGCCTCAGACCCAGGTAACCAATGCTGGTCTCCACCAACCAGCCACCTCCTTTCTCTCAGCCCAGCCTCCCCATTACCTGGCGGACAAAACTGTTGGATGTCGTATCTGAGGACGTGCTCCCATCCGACCTTTTGAACCGCCCTTTCCTCTTGCTGTATTTGCCCTGGGGAAGCCAGGAAGGGACAAGAGTGGAATCAGAAAGGGCCGTTCCCAACCCTCATCCCATCAGGCCCAGAGCTACAGCCAAGCTTTGGGAGTATCATTCCCTGCTCTGAACAGCCCCACCCCCCATCTTCTTCCAGAGATGGTACAGCCCGAGGGGGAGGGGGGACCCAGACCACAGCCTTGGGGAGGGGGACAGTGGGAGAGAACCTTAGAAAGCTCGCACAGAAACCCCCAAACCAAGCCAGAGAGGCTGGGAACAGGGAGGCGCTGAGAAGCTGGAGGCTCATTAGGCAGCAAAGCTAATTAAGATGCTGGGCAGGCTGCAGAGGCCTCCGGGGAAGGGAGAGGCTGCCTGCAGTGTGAGGGGGGCAGAGAGAGCTGGGGAAAGTCCCCCTCCTTTTCCCCCTCAGCTGGAGCAGAGGGGGGCCGAGTGTGCCTGTGGCCCCCAGGGTGAAGAGGAATCGCCAACCTGGGCCCAGCTTGGCTTTTCCCGTGCCCGAATCTTGCCTTCATTTTTCCGCAGAGTGGGGAGGGGAGTGGCAGCTCTCAGTTCTTGGAGACCCAAAGCCAGATTTCTGGGGAGGGGGCTAAGGGGGACGGATGGAACTGTATCTGGAAAGGAAACATCTAACCCCAACCCAGCCCAGTGTCATGGGGGCAGATTTAGCAACACCGCCCCCACCCACCAACCCTGTCACGACTGTTTCTCAGCCCCTTCTTGATCATCGCAGTGGTCACGCCTCTCCCCAAGGGGGAGAGAGCTCAAGCTTCCACTCTCTAACCCCTGGCTGCCACTGTCCATGCCCGGTCCCCATGGTAACCACCAGGCTGCATCAATCTAAATGCCCCTTGGCCCTGCCCCAAGACAAGCCTAGGACACAGCCCCCACAAGTCCCTGGGGTAGGCCGGCTCAGCCTCACTGCCTGGGTTCCTGGCTTGGGTGGAGTGGACACTGCTTGACCTCTCGAGCAGCCACACATTCAGGTATTTCCAGGCCTCCTGTCAAAGGGGCTCATCCTTGCCCTCCCTAACTCACATACACACTTGGCCCCAGGCCAGTCCAGAGTCATGGGAGGGGAATGATGGAGGGTTCAGGCCCTCCAAGCCCTTGCCCCCAGCTACCATCCTAGAGTTTCTATGCCCAAGAAACTAGATAAGACATGATCAGACTAGGGGCTCTGGTTCCTTGGGCCTGAGTACAAGAAGGAGCATGGATAGATAGGAGAGAAAGGTACCTGGGAACCCTTCAAAAATCCTCCCTCCCAACCCCTTCTCTCAAACCAAACACATACCCAACCTCTAGGATTGAGGATCCCTACAAACTTAAGAGGATCCTCCAGTGAGCCCCAGACTCTCTTTCACACCACCACCACCACCCCAGGATGGGAAAAGGGAGTGGCACCCAGAGAGACAAGGGACAGCTGAAAGGAAGGCCCCAGTCAGCTGCCTCCCAGGCTCCAAGGGGCCTGGGATGGAGAAGGGAGGTATTTTTAGGTCTAACCTGGCCCCCCCCCCCCACACATGCCCATCAACCACATTTTCATGGTGGTTACAGTTGCTCCAGGCTGGTCACAGCAAGAAAAGAGTTAATGGTATCCTAGCCTTGGGGTATTGCCAGACTGAAGAATGGCCTTGTCCCAGAAAAATCCCTTGGCACGACCACCCTAGACCCTGACCAGTCACCCCAGACCCTGCTGGTCACTCCGTGGGCACGCACCACACCCAAGAACGCCCCTTCCTGGGGATAACCCGGCACCGGAAAAGTGTGACTGGGGGTGGGGCGGCAGACACCCCCCAACCCCCAGGTAACACAGCTTCCTCCCCTCCAGGACAGTGAGTTGGCATCCATCCAACTTTCCAAACTTTGGAGGCGTTTTCTAAGGCTGGGGAGGGGAGGGGGGTGGAGAAGGAACGATAACGTGGGTGTTGGGGGAGGGAAGGTGGTCCAATATGAGGATGTAGCTGAGGTGCCAGGATGGGGGCCTAGCCCGGGGCCGGCCCCTTCCCCACCCTCGAAAGGCCAGTGTCTGCGGCTCCGAAGGCCTGATGGCACCGCCCTGACCACCGCCTCGGCCATCTCCCAGGGCCACCCCCGCCCCACCCACCCCCGGCCTGGCGCCCCCGAGCGCGCTCTGCGTCGCCCCCTTTGCCTGAGCTCGCTCTCGAGCCTCCCTCAACCCCCGGATGCCCCGCCAGCTCCCCCACTCTCCAGCCCCGGAGCAGGGACCCTGACGCGGGGGAGGCGAGGCGAGGGTGACAGGCGGCCCGACCGTCCCCTCCCAGCTCCGCCAAACCGCAGCCCAACTCCGGGCCAAGCGCCCATCAATCATTAACCGGCAGGGACTGGGGGCGCGCAGGCGCCCCTCGCCCCTCCGCGCCGGGCACCTAACTCCTTCTTCCCCGCGTCCCTCGAGCCGACCCCACAAGGTCCGCGGGAGCGGCCCCCTGCCTTCGGGCCCGGCCACCACACCTCACCTGCGGGCTGGGGTCGAAGACCTCCATGGGGATCTCCTGGGAGGGTGGGTAAGGGCTCCGGGACATGCTGGTCTTCTGGACCATGGAGAGGAGCCTTCCCTCCGGCTGCCGGCCCGGCCCAGCCGGGCGCCCTCAGCGCATGAGAGAGGCCGTCGGAACCGAGAGCCGCGCGGCGCAGCCGGCACCCGCTCCAGCCACCTGGCCCGGCCTTCGGCGGCCCTCTTCCTGCCTCCCGTCCCTCCTCCCGGTCTCTCTGCCGCCGCCGCCGCCGCCTCCTCCGCCCCTGAAGGCTCAGCATCTCCCCCCGCCCCCTCCGCTCCCACCTGCCCCTCCCTCCGCCCTCCCTCCCTCCCTCCGCCCGCCCCGGCCCCGCCCCTCGCAGCCCCTCCGCGGGCTCCGCACAGACAATGGGAGGGCGGCCGGAGGGAGGCACGCCCCTCCTGGCTCGGGAGGAGGCTGAGCGCCGGCCTCGGACTGGCCTGGGGTGAGGGCGGCCCAGTCTGAGTCGGCGGGGGGGGGGGGGGGGGGGGAGTGAAGCCCGGCCTTGGGGCAGGGGGCGGGGGCCGCGGCTTACCAGTGGAGGCAGAGCGCTGATGGAGGTGAAGCGCTGTTTGGCACGCCCCCCTCTTCCGTCCCAAACCGCTCTCCCTTCGCGCGTCGGCTCGTTCCACTCCAGTTTGGGCCGCCGGAACTTCCCAATCCCGTTGATCCTGGGACCCGGCTTTAACTCCTTTCTCCCCGGTGTGGGCTCACGCTGCCTTGAACCAAACAGAAAGGCCCCTCTCCCTGCAACAGGACGATGCTCTCCGGAGGTGGAGGCTGTCTGAGACTGAGGCTGGGGTGATGAGAATGTCCAAAGGGAGCTCCGACACAGACAGCAATAAGAAATCCCGGGGACCCAGGAGTCCTTCTGCCTTTGTCCCTCGTATCCCCCCAGGCCCTTCCAGAAGGCAAGGTCCCCGTTTCTTGGAAGAGAGAGGAAAGAGGAGGAAGAAATGTGGAGCTGCGAGAGTGGCTAAAATCAGACCTAGTGCCTTTTGACCTAGAATTGCTCCCCCTTCATCCTTGATTTGGGGACAAATACCCAAGGCCTGGATCCCACCAACCACAACCTATGGAGAGAAAAGGAATTAGGGACTCTGGCAAAAACTCTGGTATTGGGGAACCTGCCTGGCTCAGTCCTTAGAGCATGTGACTCTTGATCTCAGGGTGGTGAGTTTGAGCCCCACCTTGGACATAGAGATAAGTTAAAAACAACAACAACAATTCTGGTGTCAGTTTGGCTCAGGCTCTTTCAGCCCTGGACAAGTCACTACACTTCTGTAAAATGGGGTTGCCGGTACTGTAGTGTCTTTGTCACCTGGGATTATTAGGAGGATGAGGGAGAATGAAATCAAATGATGGACTGCTCAGGTGTTTGGAGATGCTATAAGGCGCTGAACAAAGGTCTCTCATGGCAGGAGGAATTGTTACTTCTCCACCGCTTCCCCTGCTCCTCAAAGAGGGGAGATGAGAAGTAGAATGGACAAGATTTGCCCAGGTTCAGTTACCCTAATATAAAGCCCAGCCTGCTGTCTCCTGCTAGAGGAGAGACTGTGGAATACACTGACCTCTTCTCCTCACCCTGGGTTCTACAAGTGGATGGCCAGCTTATGTTGTTTCTCTGCTCACATTACTTTGAGGGAGAGTAAGAATGAAGTACATCAGCACTGTGCTATGAACAGATCCAACCCTGAACAGGGTTTCGATCTGTCCCTTGGGCACAAGGAGCCTGGTATGACAGAAAAGGCATGGATATTGAAGTCAGAAAGACCTGGATTTTCAATTTCTGCTACCTCACTCAGCTGTAAAATGAAGATGACACTATCCCTGTTGTCTTGAAAAAGTGGCATGAATTTTGCTTTGCTTCCCCTCCTCTCTTTCCTCAGCTCCATTTAGCAACCAGGAAAGTTCAGATGATAGAGATGGGTGCTCAGCCAGAGCCAAGCAAGCAGATAGAGCCAGGACTCAGATCTAGATTTCTTGAACCCCAGAATATTCTCTTTGGGTTTTTGCATTGGGTGTTTCAGAGCAGGAGAAAAGAACTATGGATGACCCTGTCATTCCATTTTTTTTCTAACTTTCACAACTATTCCTTCAGTCAGCCAATGCACTATTTCTCAAATGCTTACTACACGCAAAGCTCCATGCCTCCTGTGGTGCCTACAGCAAGAACCAAACAAGCCTGGTTCCTGTCACCAAGGAGCTTGTCTTAATATCCTCTTTTGCAAGTTAATTCATGTGGTTTTCACAACGGATGACAGGAATATTAGGATTAGGTACACTTTACAAAGGAGCAAACTGAAGCGCTACGAGATTAAGGACCACAGTGGCACAAAAACGTAAACTGCTATGTTTGATCTCTCCTGTGCTGCAGGGGTTCCCAACGTACGGGGACAGTGAATAAAAGGTTGCTCTTGAGTGATATCTCCCCACGTTGTCTTCTCTCACTCCATTCACTAATATTTTTTCGCTAAGAAAACATCACCCAGAGAACCCAGAACGCCTGCAAAGAGTAGGCCACTCCAGCAAAACTACGCGCCGCCTGCGCCGTCCAGCCGTGGCTTCCGGCTTCCACTGCCCACGTGATCAGGTACCCTTGCTGCGCATGCCTAGTAGGAAGTCGGACTATACCACTTTGCCTCACCGAAAGGATCTATTTTTTACATTTTTAAGTTTAAAACCGATTCCCGAGATTAGGCTTCTATTCTCTAGGTCTTCACAGAGGGTAAGAGTAAGCTCAGTGTGGTAGAGGATGCAAGGACGGGCGGGGAATACGGGCGAAAGCGGAGCAGGGGGTGGGCTCTCCCCCTCGCAGATAATGGGAGGAGCCCGGCCGGGGGGAGTTCTTTCCTTTCGGCGCTGCGGCCGCAGCCATGAGGTGAGGGCGTGCGGGCCCCTGATTTTGCTTGATTCGACGTGCCGGCGGGCGGCAGGGCTCGCTTCCGTGGCCCCGGGTGGGAGAGATGAGGTGGAGGCAGTCCTGAAGCAGCCGGTACCGGAGCTTGGGATGGGCCGGAGCGCACCAGGCCCCGGCCTCGCGGGGATGGGGGGGTGGCGTCCCGAGAACGCGAGGCCGCGGGAAGGGTGGGCCCCGCGCCCCATATGGGTCGCGAGCGACTTTTGCGCGGACAGTGGAAGGGCCGCGGCGGGGTCTAGGCTCTGGCCCCCCTTACTCGCTGGGCGCCCCGGATCGGAGCCGAGCTGTGCTTCCATGTGACATAGGACAAGTCTCGCGTAGGCCTCGGGCCTCAGACTGCTAAGAGTGGGGCGATCCCTAGCACTTTAACGCCTTCCGCCCCGTGGACGGTTCCTAAGAAAACTCTGAGGCTAGCGGAACGTAAGTTTATTACTGTGATAAGACGAGGGAGACGGGCCCAAGAAGCAAAGGACTAGACGAGCGAATCAGACCCTCTGGCCTCGGATTCTTAGACGCCTGTTTTTAGAGCTCGGTACCAGAAAGGGCATAAGCCCCTTCTTCATCCCAGTTTTATCCTTTAACCTCATTTTCCGGAGGAGAAAACTGAGGCAGAGAAGTTAAGGCATAGCTTGGACTTTGTTCTCATTCCAAGGTGGCCAGTTGCTCTTGCAGGAATGCACAGCAAAAGTCTTGCTAGAGAAATGATTCTTAATATGGGGGCGGGATGTTGCCCCAAATCCTGAGTGCTTACACACATCCAGTTCCCGTGCTTTAGGTTTCACAACATTAAAAGATTGCAAGGCAAGTCTTGTCGGGGAATGGCTTCCAGGGCTTGATAATGTTTTCTATTTGTCACAGTATGCTCAGGCTTCAGAAGAGGCTTGCTTCCAGTGTCCTCCGCTGTGGCAAAAAGAAGGTCTGGTTGGACCCCAACGAGACCAATGAAATCGCCAATGCCAACTCCCGTGAGTTCTTGGGATCTTTTTCACCCTACTCCTTTCTCATCCTTCATGAGATGAAAGATGTCACGATTTTGACTCTCAGCAAACCTAGGAAAGCTCATAGTCTGGGGTCTTCTAAAATGGAGGGTCCCAGGGCGCCTGGGTGGCTCAGTTGGTTAAGCGACTGCCTTCGGCTCAGGTCATGATCCCAGGGTCCTGGGATCGAGTCCCGCATCGTGCTCCCTGCTCTGCGGGGAGCCTGCTTCTCCCTCTCCCACTCCCCCTGCTTGTGTTCCCTCTCTCGCTATGTCTCTCTCTGTCAAATAAATAAATAAAATCTTTAAAAAAAAAAAACTTTAAAATGGAGGGTCCCAGAAATAAGGAGATACCAGAGGTTCTCTGTCATTTGCCAAAATGACAGGATGGGAGTTAATGGAACAACCCAGTGTTGTATTAATGATCATTGCTAACGTGGGTATTGCTTTATAACTATGTGAAGGATTTATGAGGAGACAGTACAGGGACTGAGAGTAGAGATGGCCAAGGAAATGATGAAGGATGGATTGGGAAGACCTGGGACCTCGGGCTTTAGGAAAGGCCTCTTGGCATATAATTCGGGGCAGTTAAACAGTTGTCAGTCGTGCAGACAGCAACATATCCACATTACTTCCATGTGATATTGTTACAGAAAAAGGTGTTCAGTCATCCTCGTTAAAGATAGTAAGGCGGGCTTTATTCAGGACCATTGCTGCAAGTGTAGGGACAACTGTGGGATTTTACAATGGGGGGTGGAGATGGCACTCAAGTCTGAACGTAGCATGGGCAAGTAGGAATTTATGGCCAAGGTGGGTGGTGTGAGGGTCAGTGGATGGAAGATGACTAAGAGGAAACCCTAATGGTAAGGGGCTGTGGGGGGGGTGGATTCTGGCTAGATTGACCAAACAGGATTGTTGCTAAAGACAGGCCGGGATGATCAGACATCACCTGGGGAATGTTGGGGGTTGGGGAACCTGATCTTATATCAAGGGTGGGGGTTTGTGCTTAAACTGACTTAAGCAGGGTTCTTAGAAAGACTAGAATTGGGCGCCTGGGTGGCTCAGTTGGTTAAGCGACTGCCTTCGGCTCAGGTCATGATCCTGGAGTCACAGGATCGAGTGCCGCTTCGGGCTCCCTGCTCGGCAGGGAGTCTGCTTCTCCCTCTGACCCTCCTCCCTCTCATGCTCTCTGTCTCTCATTCTCTCTCTCTCAAATAAATAAAAAAAAAATCTTTAAAAAAAAAAAAAAAAAAGACTAGAATTTACAAGGACATGCACAAGTGGGCCTAGGCGGTGGTTCAGGAGGCTGATGAAAGTTTGGTCAAGCAAAGAATGTTGGT